CTTGCCCATGATTTTCGTTTTCTTTGTTTTGTTTGTATGTTATCTACGCAAGCAGGGTATTGTGCTGTGCTCCTCTATTTGCTAGTGGGCAGCACTTATACACTCACCACCTGTCTCCTTTCCTGTTGTCAGCCTCTCATATGTCCCTGCTGACCTTGGCAAACAGAGCCTATTCGTTGGTCCCTGGAATCCAAATGAGAATGCTATCACTTTAAAATCCAAAATAGTTGCTACTTGTAAAGATTCAAAATGGCTGCACCCTCGGCCACTTTAAATATCTAAAATGGCTGCGGAGTGTAAGCAATCAAAATGGCTGTGCCCTCTGGACAGTGGAAAATCAACAGCTCAGGTTGTCTCCCGCCTTGCTGCTTCCCTTCCTAGGCATAGGCCACCAGCGCAGTTGTCCCTGCACTTGGTGACCAGGGCTGATCTTTAGGTCAATTCTCAGGTCCCAACATCACTTGGAAATATTCAAGCTGTTGGTCCCGTTGGAGTAGCTGACAGTCTGCAGCTCCAACCATCTCTGTACTCACTGTTTTCATTCAGGTTTTTCCACTAGTTGGTGCCTAATCCACTTCTTTATAGTTCCTTTCAAAGCTCAGGGCTCCAGGATTATCTTCTGTATCTCTGTCAATTGGTTTTTCTTTTCTTTGTTGAAGAGGGTCTGTGTTGTTTGTCTGCCTATTCTTTCATCTTACTGGAAGTCCCTAAATTATTTACTTCATTTTTAATTAATGATGCAATGTACTTTTTTGCTTGCACTTTAAAATTATTAGTAATAACCTATTTAGTAAAAGCAACATAATTAAAGATTATTTTAATAAATCTTAATATTTTGAGACTAGAACGTATGCTGCTAAATTCAGTTAGTTTCAATACTTGTCTCTGGTTCCCACCACCACCCACCATCACCATCACCACTAAGGCCTAATGGTTGTTATTGCTGAAAAAGGAGATTTTCTAAAGATAATGTACTCTTTACACTGCACTTACTAAATTGTAGTCCTTACTTTTTTAATCTCATTCACCAATATTGCAAGTGTGAATTTCTACTGGAAAACTTCTCTTTCTCCTTGAAGCCAATGTTATCAATGATGTTTTCATAAGTTGTTCATGCAAAAATCTTTAACAAATATGATTTTAAAAACTCTTGA